CTCCTCTCCTCTCCTCTCCTCTCCTCTCCTCTCCCTGGCACAGATTTGCCCTTCACTGCCCTCTGAACCTTGCTGCAAAAAGCACGAGCTTTGCACAACCGGACCTCGCTTTTCTCCAGAGAGGGCTCTGCCATTTCAGCTCACCGTTGGGAGGCACAATAACCTGCTTTACCAAATTCCTGTAACCTCCTGGATGAAAGCACACCAACCTTAGGTACCTTCCATATTTTCTTGGATGCAAATCCTTGTTTACATTGTTTACCACGCCTTTGCTCAGAACCTCCAATAATCTCCGTTACATCTAAGGTAAGCAGATCCCCCGTGCTGGAAGAGGCTCAGTGGCACTGCGCCGAGCAGCCAAGGTGCTCCCCGGGCGCAGCTGTGCCGCAGCAGCACTCACAGATGCCTCTGTAAGCGCACGTAGGTCACAATGCGTGGAGGGGCTTGGAAACTCAAGGCTCGTTCTCACCACAGTGCCGTTACTGGGGAGCACTAATTCGGCTCTGCCTCAGGAAAAACTCTTCCTCGGACTTTTCCGGCCGTGGGTCGATCGGGACAGAAGAGCATTTTGTCCGGTGGAGCTTCCGGACCAGAAAAGAAGTTGCAGAATTTCTCCTCGCAGAGAGGAACGCCTCGGTCCAACTGCAGCTCCCAAAAGACAATCCGGGCTCCGAGCGCGGCGGCGGCGGCACGGCTCTGTGCGATGCAGCCGGCCAAGGCAGGGAGGCGCGGATCGCTGCGCGCTGCCGCTCGCAGGGCCGGCAGCGCCGCTCCGGGCCGCCAGGGGGCGCTGCGCGACACAGCGGTGCGGACGTGGACGCGGAAGTGGCTGGCGGGGCGGCGGGGCTGCGGAGCGGCGCGGGGTCCGCGGAGCGGCCATGGCGCGGGGCGGCGGCAAGGCGGGCAGCCTGAAGGACAAGCTGGATGGCAACGAGCTGGACCTGAGCCTGTGCGGCCTGAGCGAGGTGCCGGTCAGGGAGCTGGTGAGCGTCCGAGCGTGCGGGGCCGGGCGGGAGCAGCGGGCCGATGCCGGCTTCGGGGCAGCAGCGCGGTGAGCCGGCGTGCGGGGACGGAGCCGGGCGGCGGAGCGTCACGACCCGTTCGGCGGAGCGGCGCTGCCCGGCCGCGCGAATGGCCCCGGGTTCGCTCCTTAGAGCGGGATCCCGGCTGCGGCCCCGTCAAGATACGACGTAGCTTCGCGGAAACAATACAAAATATCGCGGAAACGATACAAAAGTAGCGCCTTCGCGAAGGTTTCCGCACTGTATCCGTGCGTTCATTCGGGGCTGCTTTCTTTCAGGCTGCGCTTCCAAAAGCAACCGTGCTGGATTTGTCCTGTAACAGCCTGGTTTCCTTGCCGGTAAGATGCACGACAGCCTTTGAGAGGATGAAGCAGAGCTGGTAGGAAGTATCGGGAAGAGACCCCTGGTGCTCCAACAGCCGCCGGCTCAGCCGGAGGTCGGAAGGAGCTCTGGGCTCTTTGCTCCTGCGGCGGCTGAAGGCGCCGCTGGCAGCGCAGGGCGGGTCGGTGCAGGCAGCGCTGCGGGACAGAGAGCAGCTGACAGAAAAGGGTTGCGGCGAGCAGAGTGCAGAACCTCCTGCCGAAGGATCCCGGGCTGAATTCCGAGCAGGCTCAGCAGCCGCAGCAGTTCAGCTGTCTCAGTTGTTCTGCACGCCGCCTCCGGTTCGTCTGCCCCACCGTTACCTACCTCGCTTTTCTGAGGCAAAGGAGGTGGGGGGATTCTCCTCCACCAGTTCCGTGGGCAGCTGGGGATTTGTGGCTTGTATCAGGTGCAGACTCCGCACAGCCCCTGCCGAGGACCTTCAGTAAGGTGCTGAAACGCTTTTCCTGCTTTTTGGTTGTGTTTTAGTCAGATTTCTGCAGTTTGACACACCTGGTGAAACTGGATTTGAGTAAAAATCGGCTCCAACAGCTGCCTGTGGACTTTGGGCGCCTGGTCAGCCTGCAGCACCTGGACCTCCTCAACAACCGTTTGGTCACCCTGCCCGTCAGCTTCGCGCAGCTCAAGGTAAAGCCGGCGGCCGGGCGGTTACGTAAAGCTTTGGGACGCAGCCCAGGGTCTTGTGATCCTTCTCCAGTTGATTTCTCTGGTGAAGCATCTATCCTGACGATACTCCTTCCAAAATTCAGCTGTCTCTGCACTATGGCCCAGAGGAAATTCTCTCACGCTTATTGAGAACGCTGAGCTCCCCACTTGTCTTCCTATTTCATTCTCGGGAAAACCAAGCAGCTCTTTGCTTCAGCTTTGAATTTCTTAAATAACCACAAGTCTGTCGTGATGTTTGTGGCCGTCTGACAGCCCCCCTTCACCACCCCTTCCTGCAGAACCTGAAGTGGCTGGATCTGAAGGACAATCCCCTGGATCCCGTTCTAGCTAAGGTAGCCGGAGACTGCCTGGATGAGAAGCAGTGCAAGCAGGCTGCAGTCAGGGTAAGGAACCTGCTGCTGTTTTATTCTTGTTTCTTATCTTTGTTGGTGATGTTTTTTTCCTCTCTTTACTTAGTAAGCTCTAAAGTTTCTTCAGGCAGTTCTCTGCACTGATTTTACTGCTTCCATGGCGAGAAAAAACATGGGGAGTCCCGCTCTCAGTAGAACTGAGGACTAAATGCTGCTTTGCTAAGGGATTGAAGGCACAATCAGACAAAATAACTCGTGCATAGGCTTTGTTATACTCCAGGGTATAAAAATCTTCATAGAACTACCCTGGGAAACCATAGGGTCATGTAAATAGTTGCTGCTGGGATTTGTGGAGCAAAAAGTTACAATTTGCACTTCTGTTACTGCCTTGCCATGCTGCTGTGAAATAGTTCAGGCTGATGAAACAAGCTGTTCCGTGATCCTCTGCAGCTGCTAGCACCGCTTTTCCATGTAATTTTAGAGCAGAGACCTCTGCTTCTTAACTGCAAAGGTTGGCGTAGCAAGAGTTCTCTCCAAGTCGTACCTGGAGGGCTCAGGTCAGCAGTCAGATCCACCTGACTGCCTTCGCACCCACTGCAGCCATTGGTGAGCTAACCTGCCACGAGCCTTCTGCAGCCATCTCACCTTGTTCTCTTGGACCTTGAAGGTGCTGCAGCACATGAAAGCGATCCAGTCTGAGCAGGATCGAGAAAGGCAACGGAAGCTCCAGGCAGAGCGAGGTAAGCACAGTCCTCACACTGCTGAATGCTGCCCACAGTAAGGATTGCCAGCAGGCAAATATTTGTAACTATTGGAGTTCTGAGCAGGGTAGAATGGCTGGAAGGAGAAAGATAACCTGGGACACAGTGCTAGTTCCTGCCTTCTTGACAGAATCATAGGACAGCTTAGGTTGGAAGATACCTTAAGAATCACCTGGTTTCAACCCCGCTGCCACAGGCAGAGATGCCTCCATCTGGACCTGGTTGCTCAAAGCCCCATTCAGCTTGGTCTTGCACCCTTCCAGGGAGCAGAATGAAGGATAAACAAAAGAAAGAAAAAAACCCACCACCACCAGAACAAACCACTACAGCACAGGACAGTTATTTGATTTCACAGCGTCAGAGAATAGCTAAGGTTGGAACAGGTATCTGGGGGTCATCTGGTGCAACTCCCCCCTCAAGCAGGGGCGTTGAGAGCAGCTCGCCCAGGACTGTGTCCAGGGGTTCCAACTAGGAACAGATAAGCAGGCAGTAAGGAAGAAGCCAACGACAATCCTTTATGTAAATGGAAAACTTGCTATTAATCCCCAGAAATGGAAAAGAAGCGCGAGGCAGAACAGCGAGCCAGGGAGGCTCAGGAGAGGGAACTGAGGAAGCGAGAGAAGGCAGAAGAAAAGGAACGCAGGAGACGGGAATACGATGCTCAGAGAGCTGCAAAACAGGAGGTGGAAAAGAAAACTAAAAAGGAAACTGCGCAGACCCGAAGTAAGTGGTATCCACAGTGAGCTCAGGTAAAGTGCATTTTAACGTGTGCCTTGTGGAAAAGAGTGAACAGGAGCACTGCCTCAGAACTGCGTCATGCTTAACCTGCACTGTAGATTTGATAGTGCCAGATCTGCATTTATGCAGCCTAGGTGCTGAGAGACCAGGAGTGGGGGAAGCAGCACAGCAGCAGAGCTTACAGAAGCCTTACAGACAGGCAGCTGTAGGCAAGTAAAACAGTGATTTAACATCCGGGTTCCTGATGAACTGCTGAGCTACAAGTTTCGTAAAGTGCTGAGTGCTCCTAAAAACTTCTCCATTCATTTAATCTTACTGTACTGAACTATAGGTTTGAAAACAGATCTTGTGCAACACACAGATGCTCTGCTCCTTTTTCACTTCTGCCCATGAAAGTGAATCTCATGCTCTTCTCCTAAAGTGACCGTAGTTAAATGAGGAGAGTTCTTTGAGAAAACAGGAGCACAGCACAGGCTGAAAAGCGCATTACCTGAGCACGGCGCAGACGGGTAAGGACGCCTGAATAATTCCTCCCGTTGTCTTGCAAACGTTGTTCTTGCAGAGCCTGCCTCCAGTTCTCGCGCCCCTCCCCCAGCGCGGCACAAGCACTCGTGGTCGCGGTCGGTGCTGAGGGCGCTGCTGCTGCTGCTGCTCTGCATCCTCGGCACTGTGGCTGTCTGCAGACTGACAGAGCTACAGCACCAACCGCTGTGCGTCAGCGTGAGCGCTCTCTACGAAGATGTAGTTGCTGCCGTGCAGAGCCACAAATCCCTGCAAAACGTGCTGCAGCAGAACTCGCAGCAGTGATTGTCCTGGATGGGCGCTTTGTCAGCACCTCCTTTCATCCACGCAGCCGGAATTCCTATGGAATTGTGTTCTGATGAAACGCTTTTTACCGTCAGCGTTGATTTGCTGGTCCTCTCCACGCTCAGTAGTTACTGTCGGACCATCGCTGCTGCGCGCTTCTGTCGGCCGGCCGCTGCCATCACCTGCCTGCATTAACTTAACGCTCCTTGCCTCGAGGGATCCACAGCTAGCTCCTGAGACACAGGCAGATGTCACTTCATAGGGGTGGGGAAAAAAGCGGCTTTCAGTTACCAGGTAGTTGTCGCTCTGTAATGCAGGTGTAAGATTTTTTTAATACGTATCCAGTTCTTGCTCTCGTTTCTGTTAGTGCTAAAATTGATGACGTGGCTGTATGGGAGTAACATAGGTAGGCCTGCTCCAGGACCAATGACGTGTGGAATGGCTGTGCATCTGTGTGTGTTGGAGTGAAGGAGCTGATGTACTATTGAAAGAAACTGAAAATTTTCAATACAACATTTTTCGCATCAACGTGTCTGAAGTGTTTGTGTTGTCACCTCAGGACAGAGCTGTGTTACGCACCCTAGAGCAGCAACGCCCCTTTCTGACCGCACACAGCGATCACTCCTTGCAGCCAGCTAGGAGCAGCAAAGGAGCTACAGCTCAAGAAGGGCTTCTTGCCAGCCTACAGTCTTGTCAGAAAGTGAGTGCAGGGGGAGGTGACACAGGCAGGAGCTGCTGCGGCTGGCTGCAGCACGCGGCGCTGGGTGGCACTGCTGCAGCAGCACAAAGCCTGGCCCAGACTTCACCATGGGAGCTGCAAAGGCTGGGAGTTTGGCACAGTGCTAAAGAAGACTCGGCTGTGTAAAGGCAGAGTAGTTCAAATAATCTCCACACCGAGGAAAACCAAACAAGCGTGTCATATCCCTACAGGGTTTCTGATTGTAAAAGAAAGTGAAGTGTAAATGTAATGATGCAGCGCAGCTTTCAGAATAGCCATGCTACAGCCTCCACAGAGACACAGCTTTGTTAGGCACCTGATGTGCTCCTTCTTTTGCAGTACTGGAACGATTGCATCATTACACTGACACGAGGAATGGCAACTCCTCTGTTCCACTGTTATTGCACTGCTACAAAGAAGTCAGTTATGCCATTTCGTATGACCAAGGTCATAAGTGAAACAGAAGCTTTCACCTTCCCATAGCTTTATGATACACCTGTAGTTCTCTCATTACCTTTCAGAAGAAATCAACAGCATGGATTCAAAATAAAAGGACAGAGCAGCTTCTCATCTGTCTGACACAGCAGTATATTGCACGTTTTCTACACTTCCTCAAAACAGCTTTAGGTTTTGTTTCTAACTCCTAGTCTTTAACAGGTCATTGCTTACCATCCAGAAATATAGCAGACAACACCCAAAGCAACACCTGCCTGTCAGCACCCAGCAGCAACCTGCAGCTCTACCATCTAGAAGAGTCCTGCTTAAGGCAGCAAACGCAAGGCTAATAAGATCTGTCGGTTTCGGTCAGCAGCACCTACTGGCCACGCCGAGGCACCCGCTGTGCGCGAAGCCACTGCAGCTCATGGGTGTTTTTCCCATTTGAGGTGGCGTTCCTCCAAAAGGCAACTTCCATGCATGGAGTGCAGTTCAGTTCATACTCAGCACTTATTTCAGTAAGTGCCTCTGGAGCAAAAAGCCTCAACTGTCCTCGTGTGCTCACCAGTGCTGATGGCTTTGTGGGCAGGAAAGCGTGTTCCCCAACCTAATCAAAAGAAAGCTCTTTCTGCCAACTGTTTAGACCTCGTAATTCCAGCACATATAATCAGATTTCAAGACCCTCTATAGATTAAGCTGTCTGTGGACTGAATCAGGGCAGTCTAAATTTAAATCCGAAAATTAGTCTTACTCATTCCCATCTGGCACAGCAGAAAACAACAAAATGTCTTTGAGAGGTAAAGTTCTTCTCCCTCAGCAGAGCAGGTGCTGGGGGCAGCACCGCACTGAGCAGCACCATTTCTCACACTGAAGAAAGAGAAGGTATCTACTTGTAGTTTGGATACCAGTGGAAAACATCCAAGAAGACACGCCAGGATTACAGAACAGCTCAAGGTCGGAAGGGACCTCTGGAAGTTGTACCTGTCCAAGGAAGTGTGTTAAGAAATAACTGATGTTGTTACAGAAAGTGATTTATTCCCTTGGAAGAACTCTTGACAAATAACAAAAGCACCACCAGTGCCGTAAGGCATGTCCAGTTCATACTTCATGGAAGACATTCCACAACTTTCTGTGTAAACGCCAGCCATTCAGCAATTGGATCCAATTTCCTTCTAATGATAGAGACCAAAAGTGCTTCAAGCCTTTAAGCTGCGATCCAGGAGCCCACTTGTCACCTTTTCCCAGAAGATGAATACAACCAGAGAGACCATAGGATCTTCGCTCATCTGGGCTATCCAGAGACATCCAGGCACAGATCAGGGTCGTGGGAAGTCATCTGCACACAGATCCTCCTGGACAGCTCGGGCCCGACGCGGCGGCAGGTTGCCGTCACCCCGGTGCCGCGGCGCACAGGGAGGGCAGCCAGCATGTTCTGCCGCTCCTGCTCTGAGGAGCACCTGCTGTAGGCCTGCGAGCAGCACAGAGGAACGGCATCATCTCATCCATCGCTCAAAGATAGATCAGTAAATAAACCCCACACGCCTGCGACAGCTCTGCACTCTCACAATAAAACTCGTTTTTCCCCTGGTCTCACTCCAGATCTCATTACGGGTTTGGAGGCAGACAGACCCCAAACTGCCCAGACAGAACAGGAGAACGGACACTGCGAGGTGTGACGCTGCGCAGGCAGGACGAGCAAAGCAGGGCCGCGTTACTGCGGTGTCACTGGCAATTTCTTTGGCCTTTCTCTCCGAGGGGAAGCTCTCACACAGGCTCGTCAGTAGTCTGCTCCGTAAAGCTGAAGCAGCGTGTGCCAAGGAATTGAGTTTGTTCACCACCTTCCTAAACACTTCACGCAGAATCCTTGTGTCCAAGCTAACGCAAAGGTAAATTATTCCTACCACCCCCACAGCAGCTGTTTGCGCGCAGCCCTCGGGACGCAGGAGGCATCCTTACCTGGACCAGCAGCTGAGGAGAAGGGTACGCAGACACAACAGCCTCAGCCATCTCCCCACTGACCCGGTTAAACTGTTGGATCTGCCTCTTCCAAACTTCCAAGAGGCCCTTTCCAGAAGGATCCACTTTCATGCCTCTGCACCACTTGTTCTCTAAGTAGAAAGAGAATCCTGTATTCTGCTGCTCTCGTCTGTGGATAAAGGATGAGAAAGCAAGTGACCCCCCAAAAAATTCCAATTCCTGTACCTGTTACCACACAGCCAGAGAGCCACCTCTCGTGCTGTGCTGCTAAAGACACCAGTGGCATCAGCATGCTAAAAAGGTGACCCTGCTTTCTCTACATCAGTTTCCTACACGCAGGCCAACATTTTCTATTGAAAAAGGAACCATCCTGTAGCTGGGAGAACAAGACCTTGACTTAATGCCAAGTGAGACAACTTGAAATCAAAGTCTGCCTTCAGCCCGCTATTCCCCCCAGCAAGCCTGAAAGCAAAGCCTCTCCAAAGAAAACGTAACCAAAACCGCCTGCTTACTCACTTGAACGGAGCTTCAGCTACAGCTTTTGTAAACATGGTGGCAAACTCTCCGAGTTCCTCCCAGCTCTCAAAAAAAGTGACTTGGACACGTGTGCAGAGTTGCAAATCCACCAAGGCCTGTAAAGGTCATTGAAACAACAAATGGAACAACTCACATTCTTACATCAAACTCCATTCATGACTGAAAGAAAAACAAAAAAAACAGTCCTAACATCCTGGTGTAAGTCAGGAACACCCATTCCCTCCCCATTTTGCAAACAGCTGAACACAAAGCGTTTGGAGGCACTTTGTTTCCTGCTGTCCAATAGCAGTTAGTGCCATATCAGCTGGGAGATTCCTGCAACATGCAGCAACTGCTCCTGGGCGGCAGCAGCTGGCTTCATCATCAGGCCTTGGAGTTCAGGAAATGCTAACAGATTCGTTTTTCACTTCCAGAGTCAAGGTGAACAAGGTACGATAGCCCATGAGAGGGTTGGTTTGTATCTGAACAGAGGGGAACTGAAAGAGCTCTCCTTATTGTGCATAAACCAACAGAAGCTGAAGATCCCAGTCCCAGAAAGCGCGTGACGGGGTCAAGTGTCCACGCAGAGGCAGACAACAACTGCATGCCTGTTCTACTCACGTCTTCCACATCCAGTCTGCTGATCTCCAGGCCAGGATCCTTAACCCGTTTCTGCCTCTGGCCTCCCCTGTCTTCTGCCTGGCTCCCATTTGCTGTTACCTGTTGCAGTCTCTTTTTTGACTGAGCTCTGAGACACCTAAGAAGAGGAAGCTCAGATTGGGAATTCTGAAGGGCGAGGCTGCTCTGGAGCATAGAGCACCTCAGCACCCACCCTGCACTAAGAGACACCAAATCTGTAGGACAGGCCATTGGGTACACAAGCATTACAGCTGACAGAAAATTCCTCTGTGGCATTTATTTATTTATTCTTAGAGCAACAGAAGCCTTTCAAGAAAGTATCTGTGAACATTTCTGCCGCCCTCACCCTCATACAGGTATCTGTCACTGGTCACTGTGCTGACGAGCTAGACAGACCTTTGTTTCTGCTCCTACGTAACAGATGTGGAGCAGTTCTAGATGGGAATTTGTTACATGTCTTTGCTAGAAGGAATTAATGTAAACACTGCCTCTTTCAGTGGGATAACGCTGACGCATTTGAAGAGAAAAATTCTAACCTGAAATATTTCTCTACTTCAACAACTGTTAGAGCCAGAATTTTCCCAGGCATCTTTTCCATCACACGAGCTACAAAGCTCTGTAAGGTCTCCTTCTGCTCTGTGCAGCCTTGGGCCTCCTGCAAAGAGCAATAGGAAAAAGAATGGAACCATCCCGAGTTTCACAGATGAGACCAGCAGCCTATGGCCCGAAGTTACAGCTAAGTCTTTGCGTAGGTGAAGTTCTGCTCCTGAAGCTCTCAGGTGCACACAGAGAGCACTTGATCTAGTAACAAGTTACAGTAAAGAACACAAAAATAACAAAACACACACACAAAAAAAGCCCCACAACATACTTGACCTGACAGCATCTACTAAGACAATGTTACCTCTCAAAAAGCCTCTAACAAATAGTACCTAGGAAAGAAAGCTTACCAGAACTCTGCCTCAGACAATCTCAGTGCTTTTAATCAAGTATAGATCAGACTTATGATTCAATAAAACCATAGATAGCTTCCAAATGAAAAGGGATGGCAAATACCACCCTCTCCAGAAAGCCACATTCAGAGAGCACAAAAGTTATAAGCAGTCTTACTTGCTTGTAGTTACGAACCATGGACAAGAACTCTTCCAAGCCAAGCAGAACCAGGAGATTCGGCTCTTCTGTCCATTCATTACTGTCCTCAGCCTGCCCAGACACAAAAACAAACAGCCAGACCAACGGCCCGTTTACAATTCAAAATCAGACCAGCGTTCTCAGTCTGAGGTAGGGAGAAGGTTAGAGGAACGTTTGCTTGGGATGCTAAAAACAATTACTATCAAGTGCAAACAACGTGGGAAGAAAAGGGCAAGATGGTCAAGATTTTGTCCCCACACCTGAGATAACACTGACTTCCTCCTCCAGGTAATGCTGCAGGGAACAGCCTGGCTCTCAACCACGCAGGAATAATTTGCAGACTGCAAAGCAGCGCGGATCTGCACCCCACCTTCAACCTGCAAGAGAACTGAGATTGGCACACGGGTCAGGATCCCACGGCCAGAGCTGCTGCGAGGCCAGCGCAGGCTGCAAGCAGTACCTGGATCCAGCACCACAGCGATGTATTTCTGGCACTCCCCCGGCCGCTGAGCTCTCAGCACTTTCGCGAGGTTCTTCTTTCTTTCTCTTTCCTCCTCCTGCCGCCTTTTCCTCGCTTCCCGGTCCTTCCTCCTCTTCCAGGCCGCCTGGCAAATCGCCTCCCCTTCCTCCCGGCCGTACTTCGGCTTCTTCTTCGGAGGAGAAGCTTCTGCGTTTTCTCCACTTTCCAGAGGCCCCCCAGGCCGGGCCGTACGCTCACTCACAGGGGCAGCCGAAGGGATCGCCGGCCCCCCAGAGCCGGGGGGGCTGACGGAAGGTCCTCCCTCGGGTAACAACGCGGCTGTTGGAACAGTCCGCTCCCTGCGGCCAGCCGCCAGCCGCTCACCGCCGTGAGGACGGCCGTCCCGCTCAGCCGCAGCCCCGCCACCCGCCGGCAGAAGCCCCGGACCCGCAGCGCTCTGCATCGGCCCGCTGGGCGGCAGCCTCCTGCTGACCCTCTCAGACAGGGGAACGATCTCTATCTCATCCTCGCTGTCACTGCTCAGCGTCACAACGCCGCTCCCTCGCCTCAGAGGGGGAAACGACGCCCTCAGAAGGGCCGGCCCGCCGGCTGCCGGCAGCGGCTGCAGCAGAGCACTGAAGGCTGGGAACTCCTCATCACCACCCTCAGCTCCCGCCATTTCCTACGCCTCCAGAAGCGGCCGTTGAGGGTAAAACAGCGGGCGGGCGTTTGGCGCGCTGGGCGGTGATTGGCCGGATCCCGAGCGCATGCGCCTGCGGCGAGAGGCGATTGGTCCGCACGCGTGGGCTTGTGTGCGTTCGGACGAATCTCCTCCTACTGCTCCGGAAGGAGAAGTGAGGCGGCGCCGGAAGATGGCGGCCTGGGGACGGCTGTGTGAGTGAGAGGCGGTGCGGGAGGCGCGGCGGGGCGGTGAGGGTCTGTGGGATCGCCGAAGTGGAGCGGATTTGAGGCCCGGCTCGCTCTGAAGCACAGGACGGCCTGCGGGAAGCCGTGCCGGGCGGTTCCCGGTTCGCGCTCTCTGAGGCCGCTCTGTGGTTAAAGGGCATCGCTGTGAATAAACGCTGGGCCGAACGGCGCGGGGCGCTGCGGTCAGACGGCGCCGTTTGTCTGCGGGAAGGAGTTTGCAGGCAGTGATGTCGTGGTGGCGGCAGACGCCATCCGGGCCGTAACAAAGGTTTCCATTTCTCTGGACTTGTGCTGGTTGTAGCCCCAGGGTTTGTGCTCAGGGAGTAATTGTGCCTGTGTATCGTCCTGAAGTGGCGTCTCCGCATTTTGCTTTATCAGTACTGTTTGCTTTCTTCTTGCTTTCTTCTCCTCAGCCCTTGAGATGCAGCCTATTTGCAGAGGATTTAGTGGTTGAACAACAATTTGCCCAGGGATTTCTTTTCCTCAGGGCTTTTGTTTACCTTTAAAGCCGTTAACTGACATCCTCTAAATCGGGAAAGAAAAAAACACAACACCTTAACTTACATATTTTTCAGCTGGTTTGTTGCTGTTGTTCTTGTTCCAAATCTAGTTCTGTCCGTTCCACAAACGAGCCTGGCTGCTGTCAGATGCGCTTCTAAGAAATCTGGGGGCAGCTCAAAAAATTTGGGTGGTCGCAGCCCTGGGAAGCGCTACGGAGTGAAAAAGTTAGAAGGTAGGTGAGATGTCTGCTGAGCCGTATTGGCACCCACGGGGTTTTCCACAGGTATCCCCTGCCAGCTGGGCTGATTGCGGAGCGTTTCGGTAGGAGGCGGCTGGGGCATTTTACCAAGAGAAAGGAAACAGGAAGTTCAGCAGAAACTCGCGTCCCCTGGGCAGGGGTGGCAGCAGGAGGGCGCGGTGGGTCAGCGCTCCCTGCCCAGGACTGCGAGCAGCCAGACAAAACTGCCGATGGAAAATGTACTCTGGGAGTCCAGGAGGAGGGTAACCCTGTGGGACAGCTGATAACTGAAGCGTCCTTTCCCTCTGCTCTGCGTTAAGAAGTTGGTTGTTTTAGATGTTTACAAAGGGGAGAATTATGATGTGCAGAGGAAGCCAAAGTACAGATTCTTGCAGCTCAGTTCTTAATAATTAGAGAGTTTGTTCATGAAAACATATCAGTGTTAAAGGTAATATAACAAATGCCTTCAGCAAGTACAAAATGCCTTGTGCTCTAGAAGCAATCTCCTCAAAGACCAAAATTGCTTTTTTTCCCACTGTTTATCAATTGCTCTCTATCTCCTAACAGCATTTTCATTTCGATGCTTTTTGCGTTTCAGTTTTTCCATAGAAAATTCCCACAGAAAGCTCTTAAAGTCCTGGAACTGTTTGTTCTTCTTCCAGCCTCGGGGCTCCAAGGGGCTCCATTTCTCTGCAGTCTGACTCTGCCATTCTGTTGCAGGTACATTTGTGCATGCAGGCAACATTCTGGCTACTCAGCGATTGATACGCTGGCATCCAGGGGCTCACGTAAGTCACACACCTTGTGTTTTAAAACGTGGAGCAGCAGATGCTGCTGAAGCCGGGTGTCAAACAACACGGACAGATGCCCTGGCCCTCTGTAGTGAAAGACCTCCAGCCTTTCCTTTCTAAGGCCATCTGGCTCTTTTCCAGGTGGGGATGGGCCGGAACAAGACGCTCTACGCCCTGGAGGACGGGATTGTGAGATACACTAAAGAGGTCTATGTGCCCCCCCCCCCGCAGCAGCGAGAGCAGGGAGGTGATCTGCTGTCTGCCCAAAGGAGCAATTCTTTATAAAACCTTCATCAGTGTTATCCCTACCACGAAAGTAGGAAGCTTTAAGCTGGTCACCATGCTCTGAGTCTCCCGTGTGACACAGGAGTGGATGGCAGGAAGCAGCTGGGACAGAGCGCTACAGCTGGACTGCCATCTGAGGAGGACAAGAAAACCTTGCTCTGAAATTAGCTGTGCTTTGCTCTCTTGCTCCCAGAGCACACGCAGTAGGTGTTTGGGCATTGGAATCATCTGCTGGCCACTGTAAGAGTGTTCAATAAATGCACTGGACTTCTTGAGGGTCTTGACTGTTCACAGAATGTTACCTGTGTCCCTTCAACAGCAATCCTTCCCCTGGAGAACCTGTTCCATTGTTCCACTGGATTAGTTCTATCTAGAATCACCTTTGTGACAATACTTGTCCTACTGATAATTCCATCTATTTTTATTCATTTTTAGTCACTGCTGCTATATTTGTTTCTTAGCTCCAAGACATTACAGAAAAGGAGAGATTCCTTTCCAGCTGTACCTAACTGCATCCCACAAAGCTAGATTTTTGCTGGTATCTAACTCACCTCACTGATTAACTCAAATGCCCAGAAGCATTCCGTTTACAACCATGTGAGGCAATTCTGTGCTCTTAAAGCTAATTGGTGAGTGATTTTAGAGTGCCTGTTAAGAGGCGGAAGTCTGGGATGGTATTTGAAACTCAGCAGCTGGAGGTGTCTCATAAAGCCATAATCCAGACTTTTCTTCTTGTCTTTCCTGAGTCATTCCGTGATTGCTTATGTTACTTGAAAGAAAGAAGCCTGGATGCCTCATAGCCAAACTGATCTCATTTTATCTACAGGTTTGTAAACAATTTGAAGCTTAGGCTTTACAGTAGAAAACAGGTTATCAAAATTGGTAGTGTAGTGACATTAATAGATTGTCTTCTCCTCAAAAGAAGACAAGGTAAGATGCACCTGAAGTGCATTTCCACCTTTGCTTTACATTCCCCATGGAGGCTGCCGGCCGTTTTGCCCACTCTGCTGCCCTTTTGCACACCCAGCTGTGCCGTTGTCTCGGCGCTCTGCGTTTGCACACAGCACTGCCAGTGACACCATCCCTTCAACCTCAAGTTTCTGCACATCTGAAGTTCATACAAACTGCTGCCATGAGAGCACACAGCAGCGCTCCGATGCAGCTTCGTTCTGTCACTAGCAGGTCAGGATTGCCATTGGGAATCTGATACGCCGATAAACAGTTTTGTCTCCTGAGGAATAGATGAAGTGGCACAGCACGACCATCAGAGGTCAAACACGTGTGCTTGGCAGTGCCGGCCGCGCCCTCAGAGCTAATGATCCACCAGCTGCCTGCAGGAACGGAGCAGACCTTCACCTTTGCTTCGCCCCTCACGCGGAGCAAAGCAGCTCTGCTGCTGATCCACCGCCTCGTGTTTGGCAAATGGAAGAGCAAGCAGCCGTCCCTGGTCGCTGCAGTCAGGGGGAGCTCCGTGGTTGTCTCCATGCTGCGGGACGGGCGTCCAGGACAGCTGGGTCCGACTCGCCTGCCTCCAACCAGCTGACTGGAAACAGGAGCGAAGGTCTGAGGTTCGGCTGTTCCCTCAGATGGGAACGACGTCCCAGGACTTCTGCCACTGACGCGAGGAAGAAGCACGGCAGCACGAAGTCTCACACAGCTGTGCTCCGCTGGCTTTGGCAGCTGACCGGGGCCTGGGGGGGGGCTGGCACAGCGCGTCTGTCCGCGGCCTCTGAGGCGATTTCCACTCCTGAGAAAGCTGGAGGGTGCCGCAGGGCGTGCTCATAGGGAGGGGGCAGCTGTCGAGAGAATCGGAAACAAGCAGGTCACCCCACGTCCTACACAGCACACAAGGCACCAAAAAACATGGGAATTAAATTCCAGGTCTCAGAGCAGCAGGCTGCTGGCTGGCTGCGAGCTGGAAGCTCAGAGCGGAGCTTGGCATCGTTTGCCTCGCAGGGGGGCAGAAACCCACAGATGTCACAGCATATCCCTCCCGCTCCCTCCAGGATGCCATGTTAGGTTCCTGCTCTGCCCCGTGCCAGGGACTGGGCCCTGCTTGTTGCAAAGCCAGAAAAGAATTGGCTTCTGCTGAAACAGGACTGTTGTTCAGTTCCCTTTAGCTACGTGCAGGCTATATGGGGATCTATAAAAGCAGGCTACAGTTTGTAACTTCAGAGTTTTCAAGGCTCAGTACTCCCAAATTTAAGCCTGTTGGGCTTTAGCAGGCACAATTCTGAGCAAGTCACTCAGCACAGGCTAAGAAATGTTAAGAGTTCAATTTCTTGTCCTTGGTGCGGCTGGGCCTTGCTTTCCTCTGCCCTCAGTGCTCTCACATCAGGGCATTGGTTACAAACCCAAGTGCTGAGTGCCAAGTGCTGCAATTCCAAATACTGCATTGTAGCACTACAAGCTGAAAATCCAGGTAAACCAGGGAGTGCTTTGTGCTCTGCTAAGGATTTCAAATATTTCTCTGCTGCTTCAGTCAATGAGGACTTCTTCAACAGGAGTCTCATGTCAGATGCCCTCTGTTGGACTGCAAATCTTAAATACCACAGCAGGCAAAGCCTCTGGCTCTCAATAAGCCACGAGCACTTCGAGGTAACAGCACAGGGCTGTCAGAAACGTCCTGCTGGGAGAAAGGAGCGAGGAACCACGGAAGCCTTAAGATCCAAAAATAGCTTTCCACGCTCAGCCTGGCACAGAGCACTGATCATAAGGGCTCGCTCTGCCATCAGCACTTCTGTCCTTACTCCCAGCACAGGCATTTCTGCAAACGCACCGGCAGAGATGAATCATTAACTGCACAGATGTACACAAAAGGAGCCTCTGAGTACACCGTGTGCCCTTCCCAGAGATAATGGCTATCGGAGAACGGCGAGCGTGGGGAACAGAGTCCATGAGCACTGCAAATCACTGGAGCCAAAGCCAGATACAGATGGGAGCAGCGCTGCCCCTGGGCCCTCACCGACCGAGAGCAGCCCTGGGCTCACCTCCTGGGAAGGCTCTGCCCACAGCCCAAACCTCTCTGCGATCATCTGATGGATCTCCCGCTGGCGATCCTTCTTCCGCACGCTCTCATAGCTGGGCAGGCGGGGCTCCCAGGAGGGCAGCTGGTAGCTGCTGGGCGGCGCGACACAGAACGGCTCCTCTGCCTGGAGACACCAAAGCCAGAAGTGTCA